TTGTATAGTGTTGTCGATTTACATATCTACATATTTAAAAATCCAAATAATATTATATATTTAAAAATAGGCAATCATATTTATCTGCTAGTTTACTGACTTTATTAATGCTTAATCCTTATCTCTGAAAAGGGGGAAATTATGCATCTCGAAATTGCATTTAGAAGCTAAAAACTGACTGCATTATTCTGATTGATACTAAAATATGTTAAACAAATCTATCGTAATATATTATTAACACTTTGCCACAAACACAACATGGCAAGATAGTCACTAGCTATTTTCATGGAAAATTTTCAGATGTGCTTCATTCTTTAGTTCCACCAGCTAAGGTATTTATTTCTAGAACAAGCGATGCTAATTCAATGTAGTGCGATCGCCCTAGTTTCCCTCGTATTTGAAAAATAAGTAGAAAGTTCCACAGATTTTTCAAACAACTGCTTTTTACGCTCACGCAACAAACTCAGTACCTCTAAATTGAGCATCACTTGCGCCTTGTATTGGGTGAGGATAAGTACAAAGAGAACTCTGTGGAGTAGACTTTTGAACGGTGCTACTGTGAACACCACGATCTTAAAATCAAAAATAAATCCTTACCTTTCACTCTGATATTTATAATCTTAATTTCCTAGTACCTCCTCTAACATTCAAATACGTCATTCAGCATTACCATTTTAAGAGCAACCTTATACATCACTACACTGAGAGGCTTTCCAGCCTTGCATTGTGTGAATTTTAATATAAAAATAATTTTACTTGCATAAAAAAGTAATGTTGAATATTTTCAGGGAAATACAATACATCTTGAATGAAGCTTTAACCCATTGAAGGCCTTCGTCCCTGAACAATTTTAACCCTTCCGCCTGAGTCAAAATTCACAAATAATTCGTATGTACTATTTCACGGTAGGCATAAAAATAATTACAAGTCTTTACCCACCATTTAACCGGTGACTGGGCATTAAGTCATTTTTTCTCTACCACTGTTCAACCAGTGGCTGGGCATTAAGTCATTTTTTCTCTACCACCGATAACGCGGTTGTCAGGACTCAGAGTGTTAAAATAAAAATAATGCTTGTGAATTTTCTCAGACAAAAAATATTAACGAAAAGAATAGACAGATAAGAATGAAACACGAGTATAATTCATCTTAGATTGCCAATCGTTTTATTGAAAAGAAATTAAGTTTCACATGATTACACAATTTTATTTTATTATCTTTAATGTAACCAATAACCACATTATCTCTTATATGACAAATGCCTTCTTGCAAACTGAAATCTCTTTAACAATTATATTCTTACATTAATGTTTTTACTACATCTTCTACGGCAAAACATGATCTGATATTTTAGAGTTCATATTTGTATCAATTTTGTTGTAGCTACCACAATTATTTCTACTATTAAAGCGATATTTTCCCATTATATCTCTTTAGTATTCTCATAAATGTGTGTCTAACTACGTCCGACCTACAGACCAATGGACGAACTTTACATCAATCCATATTAACTTTAGACAAGCAAAAGTGAAATCCTATACTAAAAGCACAAACATTAGTCATTCAAATGATTTTGAAATATGGTGTATTTACCAGAACCATGAAATATCATTTTTTTTATGACCAAACAGCAATATGTCCTCGGTATTAGTATTACATCTTATATGTTTCTATGACTACTGATAATACAAATAGTAGCAGAGGAAAACACTACTAATCCACTTAACTGCTTTGCTAGTTTAAACTTTTATTCAGTCTTCAATCATTTATATTGACAGCAAAGTATCACAGATTCTCATACGATTACATGTTGGCTGATCACAGACAAAATTATTTTAAGTCGAAAGGTATACAAGTAGAATTTAATATAGGCAAGCTAATTTATTTTCGGCAAATATATGAGAATATAATCGCAATGAAAGTATCAGTAGTTTCTTAGAATATTTGCTAATATTATTCAAATTCGAGGAATCTGAAATAAAGTCGAGGTACTCTCAATAAATTGTTTTTTATAACATCTAAAAATTAGGTTCGTAGGTTTTTAGCAACGTCGAGCCTTGTCAGTAATTAGATGGGTGGCCGCTTTAGGAATAACATGTGCTGTAAGCTTGGATTTGCAAGTTGTGTAATGGATAATGGTTCAGAATTGTTAATCAGAGAACCTAGTTTCAATTCCAGTTGTGTTTGTTATATTCACTTACGCGCAGATAACCTTGGGAAAGATATGAATCCACCATTTCTCCTACAGCTATGTGTTCATTAGTAAGATTTGTATCAATAAAACTATTATTAGCTCCGCCAAAAAATAAATAAAACTGCGTACGAAATATTTAGATTTCGACATTAAACAACTTATACAGGTTGATATGCCTTCAAAAAAAAAAAGCAACTAAAGAACAACTGGAAATTAAAGTACATATATGCGCATACATGCACCCGCAGGCACCAATACACTTCACTTATGCTAAGTGGCGTGAATGCGTACCTGCGCATACTTACAGGACAGGTTGAAGCCGAAAGGCATGGCGAACAAAACTTCCTAGCAGCTGGTCCAGCAATGGATTCAATATAGTCTTTCCACTTCATGTCAGTCGAGAACTTTAGCCCAAGAAGGCACAACGAATTACTAACACTAATTAATAGTAATTACTACAAAATATTCTGATATTTCGATCTTACTAATACTATGGCAAAATGAATTATATTTTTGGTTTGATCAGCATTGATATTTTATAGACAGTTTCCCCCGTTTAATGTTCTTTAATTGATTTTCTCTTGTTATCATTATTAAAAAGGGAGACAAGAAAATGCAAGAGAAATAAAAGAAATCTCAAAAGACTGCATTTTACAGAGTTAGTGAAGTTTAATCCTTAATATATATATATATATATATATATATATATATATATATATATATATATATATATATAAAGAAAGCTATAAAATAACTCGAATAATAGGACGATTTTATAAATAAATTTCCAATGAGTGCTGTATCTTGACAATTGATTAATAAGAATTGTTACTGAAGCGACAAATCGAAAACCCAACTTAAAGAATAAGAACTTATTAATGATGAACCCTTTGAATTTTTTCGTTTTACTAAATTTTCATTCCGTATACTTAATATAAAAGGATTTGTTTCCATTAAATATATATAATGAAATACGTATCTTAAAAAAATAATTTTGCGATTCAGATTGATTTAGTTCATGAATATTATGGCGAGACTGTGATAGAAAATTAGATTAACATTCATTAAGAACATATAATGTTGATTATTGTAATTAATTCTGATATAATAAATGATGTATACACTCCCAGGCAAGACAAATAAATATTTAGATAAATGGATATTCCCAATGTGTTAGAATATTAATCTCTTAATATTCTATTAATGATTAGTCATGAAATAAACACAAGAATAAGTATAGGACAGTTTTTTCATCCATTTCATTTCATGAATTGTTTAAGTGTTGTCAGTAAAATAGCAGAGAGAATTTAAAAGACAAAAACTTCAGTTATTTATATTATTTACATTGTTCGAACTGTTGTCCTCATCTTTAGTGTCATATTCACGACGTTTTGGCCGTTTTACGCGACAGCGTTCGTCAGGTGATTGGAATTTCGAACTGAACGAGATATTGATTAATCAGCACATATGCTAGGCCACAAAAATCTCCAAGCATAGAAATTAATATAATATGGCGACCAGTAATACGGAGTGCTGACAACAATAGGAGCAGAAAAATAAAAACATTCCTCCTTAGGAAACGTTTTAATTGTTTGAAACAAACTCTTCTGATAAATTATCATTACACCAAAGTTTTGGCTTTTACAATTTCAAACTCATATTTATGTAGAAGTTTATAAAAACGAGAGGAGCAGAAAAGCCAAAGAAGCCTTTCAAAGACTTTCGGATGATTGGCATTTGGATGAGAATTCTGAATGTAAGAATATTCCGAGAACTTTCTCCTCTCTCTCTCTCTCTCTCTCTCTCTCTCTCTATCTCCACCCCACGAGGATGAAATGTGGCATTTAATGGCAGATCCACCCACGAGGATAGAATGTGGCACAAGGCCGGTTTAAAACCTTGTGGGTTGATTCCGAGCCCGTATCGTTCGGTCAAAAATATAGCCTTAGACTCGAACCCTTACCTCTGTCTATCTGTCTTAGATTTATCAGGCCCACGTTTGAATATGGCACAAAGGCCGGTTTAATGTGGTTCCCGAGCCCGTAGAACTCGAAAAATAGGTAGCCTTTGCCCTTCGGCAAAGGCCCTTCAACCTCCCCGGACGTTCCCCTTCTTAATGCAGAGTTCCTCTGCTAATGCAGAGAGTTCGCCGACTCGGAAGCTCACAAAGGCAGCGTACTACACTTTGATCCAGGCCC